GGAGGAAGAAAAGAAACATGTCGTTGATGACTAAGACTGCCTAGCTCCCTCAGCACTTGTGACAGTGTCAGAATTGGCTCTCTCTCGCCCCAGGCTCTGTAGAAATCCTTTGCCGAGGGTGTGATTTTTCCTGAAGATCATTCTTTCCAGATGACCAAATGCTGGAATGTGTCATCAGCACAGATCGTTCCTTGCTGCCAAAATCTATGCTCAGGGCACAGAACTCAGGGTCATTCTAAAGCGATTTCTCCTCATAAAGAGCCAACTGGTATTTCCTGGAAGTTTTGTCTCCAATTAGAGCCTATCAATTATCTTTGTTTGTCTCCCCCTCACTGTGCTCTGGTTTCTAGAAGAAAAAATCGTTTTTCCTGAAATCCAATGACCTCAAGAAGGAAAAAGGTTCAAATGAAACACAGCCTCCAGCTTGCAGCCCTACGACCTCCAGCTTAAGGAAAGATCAACAGCAAGCAGCCCTCTAGTCAGGACCAGAATCCAAAGCCTCCAAGATGGGAGGAGCAGTGAGTACCCTGACCTCCTGCCCCACAGCCTGGGACTGAGAGATAGCTTACCACACAAATATAATGACCTGGGTTTGATCCCTAGCACCCATGTAAAAAACTTATTCTTCAAAAGTTCCAGCCAGTGAGACAGTGTCTCAAGAAAAGGTAGATGGTGCCTGAAGTATGACAGCCAAAGTCAACCTCTACCTTTACACACTTAAGGCCAACTCAAGAGATATTAAAAGGGGGCTGGAGAGATGACTCAGCAGTTAAGAGCACTGGCTGCTCTTGCAAAAGACTTGGGTTTGGTTCCCAGCACCCACAACCATCTCCAGAAACCCTGGCCTCTGTAGGCACCAGGAATGCATGTGGTGTACATATACATACATATATGCAGGAAAACATTCATACATATAAAATAAAAATATGTTTGTCTTTTTTAAAAATTTTTATGTGTATGTGTGTATTGCCTGCATGTAGGTAAGTACACCCTTGTTGCACAATGCCCACGGAGGACAGAAGAGACTGTCGGATATCCTGGAACTGGAGTTACGGACAGTTGTTGGCTGCCATGTGGGTGCTGGAATTCGAACCTGGGTCTTCTGCAAGAACAGTCAGTGTTCTTAACTGCTAAGCCATCTCTCCAGCCCGTTTTTTTGTCTTTTTGAGACAGGGTCTCCCTGTAGTCCCAGCTGACCTGAACTCACTATGTGGACCAGGCTAGTCTTGAATTCACAGAGATCCACCTGCCTCTGCCTCCCAAGGGCTGGGACCAAGGCATGTGCAACCACACCTGGCCTAAAATAAATATTTTTTAAAAAGAGAGGTGTTAAAAGGGCTTTCCCAGCTGGGTATGATGGCCAGCCTGGGCTACACAGTGAGTTCTGAATCAGCCTGAGTTGCAGAGTAAGACTGTACTTCCAAAAATCAAAGAGCCATGGAGATGGCTCAGTGGGTAAAAGCACTTGCCATGAAAGCCTGCCATCTGAGTTTGATTCCTGAATCCCACTGTGGAGGGAGAGAACCAACTTGAGAAAATTATCCTCTGACTTCCAGAAATGTGTCACACACACACACACACACACACACACACACACACACACACTAATAGTAATAAGTAATAAGTAATAATAATTTTTAAAGAAATTGAGAGGGACTTGCTCATCCTCTTAATTCAGGCAGGGTTCCTGAGCTGAGAGTTTAACGGCAGCAAGGCTCCAGAAGGCAGGTCCCCTTTTTTCAAGATGCCACAGATAAGAGAGGAATTTCTCCCACCTGTGTGTCAGGGTGCCCACCCTCCATCCCCAGGACTGCATCCACATAAGCTAATGGAAAGTTAAAGATTTTAATGGACATGGCTCATTCAAATAATTCAAACTCAGATTGTTCACATAATCTCATTCTGAAGTCCTCTCCTGTGTCAAACAGATACAAAACATTTTGTAATTAAGGCAGTGCTGTTTCCTGAAGAACTATCAGAAACCATAAATTCACTGTGATGCCAGCACTAGGAAACCTGAGGCTGGAGACTCTCCAGTTTGAGGCCAGCGTGGGCCACATAGCAAGTTCTTGGACTACAAAGTAAGACCCTAACTCAAACAAACCAGGGCCCCAGGGAGGATGTAACTCAGTTTGCAGACCCCTTGCATAGCGTGCTCAAAGCCCTGGGGCATGATGGCACTTTCTTTGTACTCCCAGCATTCAGGAGGTGGAGTCAAGCAAATACAAAGTACAAGGTCATCCTCAGCTGTACAGAGCTCAAAACTATTCTTGGCTACATAAGACTCATATTTCAGGGGCTGGAGAGATGGCTCAGCGGTTAAGAGCACTGACTGCTCTTGCAGAGGACCCGGGTTCGATTCCCAGCACCCACATGGTGGCTATGAACTGTCCTTAACTCCAGTTCCAGGGGAATCTGAAGCCCTCTTCTGACCTCCGCAGCATTGCACGACACGGGTGCACTCACATACATGCAGGCACCACGCTCATACACATAAAATAATAATAAAATATTTTTTTTAAAAAAAGACTGTATTTCAAAAAACATATTCCTAAATTGGGTAAACTGAGACTCACCAGAGAGTTGAAAGTAACGAACTGCTTTTCCAGGAAGATCAAGAACTGGCAAGCCCAGATATGTCGGTGTAATTTAAATGTTTCAATCTATGCCCTGCCCCTGGTCCTTTGGTATTAAATAAATAACAAACTGTGGTTTTTTTCTTGAGTCTTTCAAGACCACAAATGGAAACATACCTTTTACAAGTAGCTAGACCCAACTGCCCAAGACTGACAAATGCTCAACAATAATGATCTTTAAGAAAACAAAATCACAAGCTGGCCATGTTAGTCCCAGCTCTGGGGAGGCAGAGGCAGGCAGATCTCTGTGAGTTAGAGGCCAGCCTGTTCTACATAGGAAGTTCAGCCAGTTATGTAGACCAACTGGGGCTACAGGGAAACCCTGTCTCAAAAATACCAATAAATGAATGAATGAATAAATAATAAATAATAAATGAAAGGAAGGAAAAAAAAGAAAAGAAATTCACTTAACTTGACCATCTATTGGACTTGGTAGCAACCTCACAAACACGTGCAAGATTTTTTATGTTCATCTTATTTTTCCAAATACCTTTTAATTCAGCCGTGTTCTTAAAACATACCAGCAAATACTGATTGAATGTCTTTCTCTACTAGTCTTCCTGTGACAGCCTCAGGTGACCTCAGTTTCAACACTTTGACTTTAGCCAGCCTTCCCCATCTTTTCTCTGCACCATGACTGGGGGGGGGGGGTTGTTTCATGGTTGTTAGCAATTGCCCCAACATTTTAGAGAATATACAAAGGGCAGAAAATCTGACTTCAGTAAGCAGTATGTCCCCTGGGTGCTTGTTAAAAATGCAGATTCCTGAACCCCATGTCTGAGGGCAGGCTTGATAGAGTGGATGGGGCCTAGGAAGCCAGGATTATAACCAGGGTCCTGGTGTTGAGGCTAGAGCACCATAGTTTTGTAGTTTTAGTATTTTATTTTCACTTAGTTTTTTTTTTTTTATTTTTTTTTTTTTATTTTTTGTGCACGAGTGCATTGCCTATATGTGAGTGCACCCGTGTCGTGCAATGCCGCGGAGGTCAGAAGAGGGCTTCGGATTCCCCTGGAACTGGAGTTAAGGACAGTTGGTAGCCACCATGTGGGTGCTGGGAATCGAACCTGGCTCCTCTGCAAGAGCAGTCAGTGCTCTTAACCGCTGACCCATCTCTCCAGCCCCTCATTTAGTTATTTTCAATGTGCCACTGTTTATAAAGATGACTGAGTAGGGAGGCAGACAGTGGAGACCACTGGAAGATGGAATCTCGTATCTCTGCTGGTCCTCGGGCCTGCTCTGAAAGTTCTGGAATATAGGCCCAGCTGCTCTCCAGTCTGACTCTGCAGTTACCATGCCATAGCAAGGCCTTAGAGTGGTCCCATTACCCAATGCCCAATATTTTGTTTTTAATTGTGTGTGTGTGTGTGTGTGTGTGTGTGTGTGTGTGTGAATGCCAGTACCTGTGGGGGCCAGAAGAGGGTGACCAATCCTGCAGCTGGAGTTGGAAGCAACTGTTGAGTCCCCCACTTCTCCATGGGTGCTGATTCTGAACTCAGATCCTCTGTAAGCACAGTGCCCACTCTTTACTGAGCCAACTCTCCAGCCCCAGCTTTGGAATTTTAAACTAGATAAGGACAAATCCTCTCTGAACTCCTCCCTCCCAACCCGCATCCCTGAGCCTTCAGGGAGGAGGTCACTTCTCTGGGTCCTCCTCCCAAGGGTTAACATCAAGATCTCCCTGTCAATCCCCCTTGAAGCAGAGTGCCAGGCAATAACCAGGCCCAGTGGCTATTATGCTGAGTCATCATGTAATGAAGGGACCAGTCCCTTCCCCTTTTCCCTGTTTGGGGACCTTTCAGGACTGGGGTCCGGCCCCATCTCCCTCACAGCCACTGGCCCAGGCTTTCCCAAAAGATGCCAGTCGCCCATGACCTGGGGACGAGGGACAATTCCAACTGGGCTCCAGCTTCAGGGTCCACCTTCTTCAGACCCTAACAACCTCAAGGAGAACACCAGTGTTTCACGACCATGGTCTCCATGGCAACCGACAGGCTGTCATGAGCACAGAATGGTGACTTCACGGCGTGGGGATTCCAGAGAAGAGGCGGGGGGAGGGAGTGGACGCCCCCCAGTCTCTGACCTCCAGCCACACCGAGGGATCCCTCCTCCCTCCCGACCCGACCCTCCATCCGTGGCTCTGCAGCTCCCCAGAAGTCATAAGAGGGATGCTGATGGCTTGTCACTCAGGCCCCCTGGCATCACCGGGGGCGAGGATGGCGAGCTGGGATGCAGGACGCGCTTGAGCCCCGGGGACAGAGAGGGGGGACCCCCTGCGCACAAGGCGCCGGGCAGCTGGAGCCGGGCCGGGGCGGGGGCGGGCGGTCCCCTAAGTCCCACCTTCGGAGGCGGTGCCTGGCGGCGGGGAGTGTCAGGAAGAGGAAGAGCGCGGCCCGCGGTGCGCCGCGCGCGGAGCAGGGGCCGGGCTGAGGCAGCGCCGCGCGGGCCACCATGGCCACGGACGAGCTGGCCAGCAAGCTGAACCGGCGGCTGCAGATGGAGGGCGAGGGCGGCGAGGCGGCCGAGCAGCCGGGCCTCAACGGGGCAACGGGGGCCGCTGCGGCCGAGGCTCCCGACGAGGCTGCCGAGGCGCTGGGCAGCGCGGACGACGAGCTGAGCGCCAAGCTGCTGCGGCGCGCGGACCTCAACCAGGGCATCGGGGAGCCCCAGTCGCCCAGCCGCCGCGTCTTCAACCCCTACACAGAGTTCAAGGAGTTCTCCCGGAAACAGATCAAAGACATGGAGAAGATGTTCAAACAGTGAGTGCCCTCGCGCTCCGCGTTCCCGCTACCCCGGGCCTCCCCGAACCCCCAAATTAGCGCGGCGCCCCAAGCCAGGCTCCCCTAGAACCTGTGATTCCGTCCCCTACCCCCGCCGGGGTTGGGAACTCCGCAGTCCCTTCCAGACCGCCACGAGGCTTCCAGAACAGCCACCCCCACCGTGTGTATGGGTCTGGGGACCCCCTGGCCCTGGCACGTGACTCCTCCTAGTGATACTGCCCCCACGACCCTGTAGGCCTCCACAGGCGGGTTAGGGAGCCTCCGGAGATTCCTTCCAGATAAAAGCGTGCCCCCCCAAGTCCCCCACTGCTACCATATACCCAAGTGCAGACCCAGCTCTCACTTATTGGTACTGCGCCCACCACCCTACACGCACACACAGGACCAGTGGCTTCCCTTCTTCCTCCATCCCTGTGACTCGGTTCCATCCTCATGCCCAGACCCACATTCCATTTCTGTCCTCTGCCCCTCCCCCCCCCCCCCCCCCCCCCGCCGCAACAAACGCACCCCCAGTGCCTCGCAAGGGGGACATTGTCCGACCCCTTGCCTTTCACTAGAGTCCTTTAATTTCTTCTGCTACCTCTGGTCCCTCTCAACATGGGTTCTGGGTAAGGATCCCCTACACCCATTATTCTGTGTTTACTAACTGTGGCTGAAAGCTCTTCAGTCTCTTCCAGCCCACCCCCACCCACCCTATTGGTCAGGTCCCAAATCCCTAGCACTTAAGGGGCCACTCGGTCCCTGTCCCCTATTTGCAGGCATGGAACTCGCCTATCATCCCTTCAGGGCTGAGTCCCCGCTCTGGGCTTAGTCTCCTCCATACACTGTGGATCCTCCTGCCTGCCCTCCTCACCCCTGCACCCAGCAGCTTCTATTAGAAGGCTGTCCTCTTACCTAGACCGGTTCCTCCCCACATAGGATCCCTGGTGCCCCACAACCCCCCAGGCAGTTAGGGGACCCCTTGCTATGTGCCTTGCCCAATGACTCGCACTTCTACCCTCTGTTCCTATGGTCCAGCCCTTCTACCCCCACAAAACTAAGCAATATCTGGGGAGGGATGAGAGAGAGAGGAGAGAGAGAGAGAGAATCTAGTTCCCTTCCCTTCCATTTTTGTCTGGTGTAATATTGGCAGCCCCTCTCTCCCCAGCCATGCTGGTGCCCATGGTGGTAGGGATGGTGTCCGTGCCCCTCCATATGACAGCCTTCCCCACCCCCTGTCACCCTCCCCAGGCTCCTGGGAAAGGAAACAGCCCCACAGGTACTAGGCTAGTGTGCAACCTTTAGTGGGTAGAGCCATCAGAAGCTGAGGTTTGCAGCAGGGTGTGGTAGGGAGGGTGGGGAGTGGTAGGCAGAAGGTCTGCTGGTGGAGAACAGCAGACAGGTGAGGCATTGACTGCCTCAGCCACACCCAGCTGACTGCCCTGACAACCAGGAAGCCCAATAAGGGGGTGTTTCCTAAGTCCAGGGCTGAGAGAGGCTCTTCCCACATCTCACTCCTCCCCATGTATGTAACTTCTGCATTTACTCCCCACACAAGGATAGAGGGTTTTGGTTCCCAACCCCATGCTGTCCCATATCCCCCCAACTCTTAAACCTCTACATGGAGGTCATAGGGCTGGAGGAGCCCCCTCTGACTCAGGGTCCCTATGGGAGTTCTTATGAAGCTTCCTCCTGTCCACACTGACGGGACAACAGGAGTCCCACTTTGCTGGCTCTTCAACTCTAGGCAGCTGTGACTTTACTATGTGACTTCCAGGTAGCACTGCCCTGTGGGGTATTCAGATGAGTCATAGTTCCTGCAGAGATAGGACTTGGGCAATAAGGGACTCCCGCTGCCTCCCACCTGTCCCTGACACTGGCCGGTTTTATCACCCCTGCACAGATGGAGTCTGGCCACAAACTAGTATAAAATAACTTGCCAGGACTGCACAGCTAGAAAGTAGGGGGAGACTTCAAACCCAGACCACTGGCTTCAAAGCCCACGCTCCTCCCGCTCCCGTGAGCGTGTCTCATCACAGACTTCTATCAGTGTCTCGAAGCATGCTCCAACACCCCTTTCTGTGTGCATGGCTGACTTTCCTTCATGCCTCCACCGCTTTGTTCTTACATGTTCAATAAGAACTTAAACCGTGGAGCTGTTCGGGGGAACCCAAACAACCCCAATGAGAAGGCTTGGGAGACTTCACTTTGGCCAATGAGGAACCAGTGGAGAGAATGGCCTTGAAGTTCTGTTTGCAAAAAGCACTCAACTTTTTACACAGGCTGTTTCTGGGATAGGTTTGACTGAGACGTACTTTCAAGGCAATTAGGAGGAGCTGGACCCCTTCAATCCACCTCTTAACACCAGCACTGCTTGTTGGGGTGTTGGGAGGCATGACAAGGGGCAGGAAGGGGCCAGGAAGCTGGACCCTCTAGGGAAGGAAGTGCCACTCGCCGGGGCCCCTGGCCAGGGCACAAAGCTGCTGATTAGGTATTCAAGGAAACAAGGCCTTACTGTGCCCACAGCCCAGCCCAGCTGAGTTCCGGCTGGGAACAGTCACAGACGGCCTCGCAGAGCACAAAACGCCTCTTCTGTTTCCACTGTGCAAGTGGCTGCTGCCTCCTGGGGCCCAGCAGGTCCCAGGGATGGCAGCCAGGGCTCTGCTGAGAACAGGGTGCAGGGAGGTGGGGAGCCAGTGCCCCTGGGAAATCATGCCAGCCCTGGGTATAGGAGATAGCAGGCAGAAAATGGGGAGCTGGCCTTGCTTTGGCAGCCTAGGTCTCCCTCCTCATCCTCTTGTCCTCCCTGGGCCTCAGTCTCCCCATCTGCAAAAGGAGCTGGCTGTGTGGTGGTTTCCAACGGCACAGCTGCTCTGACCTTATTCTGAGGGATCCTGAACCCTAGCGCCCCTCAGAACTGCCATCTGGAGTTTTCTGGGTCATTATTCCATGTAGATACAGCCCAAGGACAGTGGTAGAGGGAGAATGGAAGAAGCATCAGGCTCTGATGTCCATCACCAACCTCCACACTTACAGTCACACAGTCACCCCAGGAAAGACTGGCTTCAATCCCTCTCCCCATTTTACAGATGAGGAAATTGAGACCCTTAATGGAGAAGTGATCTGGTCAGGGTCATGGGAGGTTTTCTGGGACTGGGGCCTAGAGATGACACAGGCTGAGTTCTGTCTGCTGTCAGGCACAGAAGCCCTGCGTGCAGCATGGAGCCTGTGCTCCATCCTCCTAGATGGCCTTTGGTGGCATCCATCTTTTCATCCCCCTCGCTTCTCCTTCCCTTTCTTCCCATCCATCCAGGCTTGTTTCTAGAACCTTCCAAGGCAAAAATGCATGGGACAGCCCCGGAGACATCCCTGGGCTGACGACAGCCTAGGGAAAGCTCTAGAGGGTTTGGTAAGCTGACACTTGCCTGAAAGGCAAACAGCCACATAATTGTGAATCTGCCGTGGAATCTGAGGAAGGTGCCCTAGTTCCTGGTCCTACCTGGCCACACTGGCCCTGTCCCCAGCCTCCTTCCCACCCACTTTATCTCTTGACCCCCTGTGTCAGGCAAGCAAGCCTTCCCTTCAGGAGCTCTAGAGGCCACCAGCCCTTCTGTCCCTCTCCTCCCCTCCTGGTTAAGAGTCTGCAGCCTTGGGTTTGAATCCCACACCTGGAGCAAGTTACTGAACCCTCCCTTTCTGCGCCTCTTTCCTCATCCTGAAATAAAGAGGACAAAGTTCTCGCTTCACAGCACTATCAAGTTCTTATAACCCAGTGCTTAGCATGGACTCAGTACTCACTACATTACCCTCATCCCAGGTTCAGCATATACCCCGGTAGGCAGTCATCAGAACTGACACTGAGGTAGCTCTAAACAAGCCATTGGCAGCCTCCCCCACCAGACTTGCCTCCTCCCCCCAGAGCTGCCTGGCTGTTAAGCTGGCCACAGCCCTTTGCTTTGGCCTGAATGACTGTCTGGGATTCAGCCTGAAAAATATTTCCTTCTGCCCAGCAGATGCTCTGATTGACAGCTACATATTGCTCTGATAAATAACAAAAATAGAGAAATGAATTCATTATCACTTAATGATGTGGAAGGCAGGTACAGAAAAAAGGGACGAGCAAACAACAGCCCTGCAGTGACACAAAACTGGGACTCCAGCCACTGCCTCCCACCACCCAGACAGATCTTTCTGAGTACTGGGCTTCTCAGCCTCAGTTTCCCCTGGGGCTATAGGACCTAGTTGGTAAAGCATTAAGAAATTGGGTGTGGGGGCTGGAGAGCGGGCTCAGCAGTTAAGAACACTGACTGTTCTTGCAGAAGACCCAGGTTCGAATCCCAGCACCCACATGGCAGCTAACAACTGTCTGTAACTCTAGTTACAGGGTCCTCGGGCATTGCACAACACAGGTGTACTTACCTACATGCAGGCATAACACTCATACACATAAAATAAAATATTTTTAAAAAGAAATTGGGTGTGAAAAACAGAATCCATCACAGCATATGCCTAGGGACTGTTTACTTCAGTGTTTTTATTTTTTTTTATTTTTTGTTTTTTTAGTCTCTTTGAAACAGGGTCTTCCTGTAGCCCCAGCTGGCCTGGAACTCACTATGGAGACCAGTCTGGCCTTGAACTCACAGACATCACCTGCCTCTGCCTCCCAAGTGCTGGGACTACAGGAGTGCGCCACCACGCCCAGCATAGATGGTATTTTTAGAAAAATGTTTCTTCCTCTGATCACTCACTAAGTTTCTGTGTATGCAAGTTCCAGCCTTTGAGACACTTAGTGCCTCAGAGGACATGACCTTTGGAGGGGGGGGTCTTTGGTGGGCCCACAGGACCAATAATGAAAGGTTCCTTTATTTCTACCATCAGGAAGGACCTCAGCCACGTACTCCTCACAGCCAGCCCCTCCCTGCTCTGTGCCCAGTCCAGCTGCTCCCAAGGAAACTTCTCACCTGTGTGACTTAGGGGTCAAGTTTAATCCTCACACCAGC